ACATATCTAACCAGATAGACCATGAACTAACACTGCATGAATTAGAAAATGCTGAACTGATGACAAGTATCCCGGGTAAAGAACAAACTGGCCTTTGAAATGCCAAACTGGAGACAATATGACCCAAGTTCCTACAACTGGTTAGACAACAGAAGAGACTTCTCAGTTGTCAGACATTGCTGATAAGTAAATCCTCTGAGGTTGCAATAATTACCATCTCCTTTAGGTATTAGAGATGATTAGGTATTAGAAATTAGGTATTTTCTAACCATCAGTTAGAAAATGTACATGAGCAGACAATTCTCAAGCTACAACAAGACTAGGATGCAGTCTGACCAACAAAACACAGCAAGACTTCAGAGATACAAGGCTTTTGTACTCATGTTGTTTCCATCCCTTGAGCATTATATAAATGAAGTCTGTTTTAGGTCTTGAAACTTTTCAGATTATTTCCCTTTTTAAAATACACACTGCTTTAACAGGCAATTTTCAAATTTGCTGACTGTTTAATTTTGTAGTTTGAGAAGGATGCAGGTTTTATAACTTTTAATGAAAAAATACTGAAGATAAAATGTTTCTGAAGCTTAATTCGTGGAGCTTAATAGTCTTTAGCAAAGCATAGGCAGAAATGCCACAAGCTATCACAGGAAGAAGTTTGACAGGTAAAGCCAAAGAGAAGCTGAGAGAGAGATGGATGGCAGTCTAGTAAACAACTACTAGTAGGCTTAATAGCAGAAAATGCTATAAAACAGAACTGTGGGTGAAGGTAGACATGTGCAAAGCAAGAGGAATCATAAGCAATAAAAAAGTTAAGTTGTAGATGAACTCCTACTGCATGCTTGCACATCTGAAGTCTAGAGTCCTCTGAGATCAGTCAACAAAAACTAGAATCAAAATTAGCAGCAGAAAATCTTGCATGCAAGAAGCGTGGAGAAGCTCAAGAAGATATCTAATAAAGTCTACATTCAAGTGCAACTCAATATGTGGCAGGTAGGAACTGGAAAATGCAATGTCTCTCTGGGACGGTTTCTACTGGGATTTCTGTAATAGTCAGAAATTAAAGATAACCTGGCGGCAGAAACTACAGGAAGCTGGAGGGCCAGTTCCTTCTCCTGTTCACATTTGTTGCAACTTTTTCCAAGGACAGAGACGGTATGATGTCCAGTCCATTTCACCAGTTAGAATGATCCTTAAAACTTATAATTAAGACACCAATATACAACAACTCAATGTTTTCAGAAGTGAGAAATGTAATAAAACCTGATAGTCTGAAAGTGAAATTGAAGAAAAATTTGAGGTTAAAATGAAATTACACAAATGAAGGTATTTTGAAACCTGCAGTGAAATTTTTGCTTATATTTCAAGCAGCAAACTAATTTTTTACAAAATTAACTGAAAGGCTACTATATGATGGCCCCTCACTTTGAAATTTTTGTATGATTCTACTGTGTGAAGTAAACCAAATGCAAGAACTGCAGTCATGTAACACATGGCTTTTTACTTGCTGATTGAACAGGTCATTTAAGGATGTTGAATTCAGTTCATCCTAACAAAAATATTAATGTTATATAGTTAATATTTCCTTACTAGAATGACAAATTATCAATTTACTAATGTATGTTGCAATTGCAGTTAGCTTGAATGAAAAACAATGTATTTTAACTGGAGTATTTAAAGAGTACTGTGTATAAGAATATTTCTGGCATTTTGTAATAAAACCCCCACACTGACAAGTCCTTTACCAAATTCACTTGCCAGTGCAGAACACTGTTTTTCCTTTAACATCATATGCAATATATCATTGTTTTCTTCCTGTTCACATACATGCACATTATTTTCCTGCACCAAAATACCAGAATTTGGCATAAAAAGACAATTCCTAAACACAGTACATCAATAGTTGGTGGACTGAGTTCCAAATCGTCTACCTCTAGTAAGATAATTTTGAAGCCATCCATTTGAACTGTTAGCAGAAATCTAAAGGGTTACAGAGATTTCAAACAAAACTGTTTTGTACATTTCAGTCAAAAAGTATTTGCCTATTTCTAAAAAAAAAAGAATAAAATGAAAGAGATTTGTACTATATCCAAACGTTTTTAAGATGTAAATGTACTTGTCATCTTTCATGTAAGCAGGGTGCTGGTGCCCCACATTAAACAAAAGAAGAAAAGTTAGGGTTGACAAGTATGTCGCTGCATAACTACAAATTAAATATGCCTTTTAATATTTCATTTTTAACTGCTGAGTACCTTTTCATAAGGCTATTGCCATTAGAAATTTTTTACTAGATTTTTAAATTAGACAAATAACAGATAAGAGATGTGACAAGTGTAACAAACCTGATTTAGCAGATCTTACGCACTTAATGCTTTATGGTAGTAGCAGCATTTGATACATTTGAAATGTTTCAAACGATGCTCCCTTAACATGCCAAAAAAGAAGAAATTCAGATTTAACTCTACTACATTCAATTTATGCCAAGTATGGAATGAATATCTAAAACCCACAATCAACTTTCAGTTGAAAGTGTGAAATGACCTAAAACTTTCAAAGAAATGTGAAATTTTAAGTACTACAGCTTCCCCATATCTGCCAACACTAGTGAAACACAAAACATACATGCTGTATGCTGTGAATGCTGATCAGACTAAACAGCAGCCAGCATTTAAAAGTAAGTTATGAAGAGAGATCACCATATCTGAATTCCTCAGAAAAATAAATGAACATCAACTTTTTGTGTGGTAAACAAATCCACACTTACTACAGTCTCAAATTTATGTACTAAATATAATAAAACTTGCCCCATTATGAAGAGTAATTTGACATTTGCTTGCAAAAGCTCACATCAATAATCTGTATATATATAATATATATGACTGAATGCTCACATGCAACTACTTCTACTTGTATAGCACAAACTTCAATATACAGAAATCTTTTCTATCCATTTTCAGAGTAACACAACCACCTCATTCACTGTCCAAAAGACTGTAGGCTTGAATTCAGAAAAGATCACAAAGCCTAATTTTGTCACGAGACTAAGATGTAACACACGCATTCTAAAATAGAATTAAAAACCCCACAACAAAACACAACTTACTACCAAAAAAGAGGAGAATGAACAGGAACAAAAAACCCCAACTTGTACACTGAACTATCAGATTGATCAGTATACACAAAAAATAATCCAAAACCATATGTGGCAACTGATTAACACTATTGTTTCCTATTGTTCCTTTCACCTCTTTTAATTTTGTTAATACTGTAGAATAAATTAGAACAATGTTTCAAACAACAAAAAAGAACCAAACTACATTTCATTGTTGCTGTATGTTAAAACTGAAGTCTTTATTGTAAAGACTCTGAAGTCTACATTGAAATTAAAATGAAAATTTAAATGAGTTATTTATTAACAATAAATCTAATTAAGTTAATAAAACTGCCTTCTAACTCCAGCAGTCACACCTCAGATCAAAATTAATGGGCCAAATGTAAAATTACTTTGTGCATAAGTTCTTTCTGATATTCAGAACTTTCATATTGAAAAGAACATGCATGTTGGAAAATTAAACAATAAAAGTTTTAGCACATAGGCTAAATGAAACTTTGTCCCATGCAAACCATTTATCCTTTTTTATGTTTAAAACTGTAACAAAAAGCATATGTATAAGGAAATCACTGATAATTGCAGGACAATTGCCCACGTGAGCAAGGCATATGCTTCTTCCACACTGACATGGTATGAGACTTGAATATCATGTATTTTTCAAAGTTTGTTCAAAAGGAAAGCTTCTTAATTCTAAATTCTCCTTCTGAACTGTTTGTTTAATACGGTTCTCATTTGACTATTTTCCTCATGAATTTTATGAAGCAAGGAAGTGTTGTCTTCAGTACTTACGGACAGATGCCTGTAAAGATGCCCATAATAAATAGAGTGTCAAGATTTTTCTGAATATTCTATACCTTACAAGACTTTAGCTAGTCAAACTAACCCTGAATGTGCAAGATTAATATCTCAGTTATTTCTGCTATATGTTGCAGAAATACAAGCACATATATATATATATACAGCACATATTCTGAGCATAAAAGTAGTAATAAGATAGAAGAGACACTTTTCTCTAAAGTAATAAACCCTAAGATCCTCATGCTTTTAAGCAAGCAAGCACTGCAGCTCTTGATTCATAGGTTACCAGTGTGCTTCTTATAATTACCTGAGTGTCCAACTTTTAAGTACTGCAGAATTTCTACTAAGCCCGCCACACATAACTCCATCAAAAAATCAAAACAAGAAAGTGCAAATTGATTAAGAGAAGTTCACCTTCAAAATGCCATGTTCTATGTCACTGTAACTAATTTCTACTTGGTATTAACCACGCATTAATGTGATAAGTGATTTAGATACGACAAATTACATATTCAAAGGACCTAAGTGTGCACAGTATGCACCACTGTGAAAAAAGACTAATTTATATTATGCTTCTTTAAAACAGAAGCTCTTAAAGCACCTAGATAATGACTAACATCTCAGTAATTTTAAATACAGTGCCTGCCCTTCGATGGTTTAACATTCTTTGCTGAACTACTATTACAATATGCATTTTCTCATAATTTTTTTTATTTCAGAACTGTAATTACATCTATTTCCAATGTAGTCAGATTCTGTTGGAAAAAAATCCCAAACTACCTCAATGAATTTTATAAGAAAATAGCAAAGATGACTTTCATAATTTTTTTCTATTATATATAAGCAATGAAGCAAAATAATCACAAAAAACAAGTATTAAAGAGATTATCAATAATGAAAGCAGCTTTAATAATTTGCGGGTATTTGAAAAATGCTTTAAGAATTAAGTAAAGTCTGTGAGAAAGAACTTATAATGAAAACTTGTCAAAAGTTAAAAACATAGATTAGAAAAAAGTTTTTAATTGTATAGTATATTTTAGCTCCTATCAATCACTGTTAAAATAATTTCATAGTTTAATAAGCAGATATTTACCTGTTGGAACAAGACAATCTTTCCAATCAAAATATCCTGCATAAATGCCAGGTTCTAATGACCCTACTATTGGATCTGCCTTGAATTCAATGTACATTTCAAACAGTCTTTGATCCAGCTCTTTCAAGGACTCCATACTAACCTAAAAATGAAAAAAAAAAAGATAAAAAAGAAAGAGAAAGAACATAATAAATAGTCATTAACTACAAGAATTAAATCACATGTCCAAAAAATTTCTTCATGGTTTCTTTAATTTTCAGTAAAAAGTAGCAATTACTGACATTTCAATTCATAATTACATATATAAAAGCCTAAGAATTTCTATATTATCTGTCCATCCTACCTAGATTAATTTTTTTTTCAGATTGTACTCAGCAACAGACATTTTTGTGAAAAGTCTAAGGAAGCAGGCAGATCATTTGCTAATTCTCTACTGGCATGATTTCTTCCCCCTGCATGTCAGGAGGTCTTTATCTTGCAAAGTAAACAACTGAATTTTGTCTGTGCTTTAAAATATGCCCATAATAATCTCCATCATGACACATGAAGACTTTTGTATGATACTTTATATCTATCAATTGTAATTTTACAATTTCTCACTATCCACTCTGTATTCAAAAAAATACATGATTTATTTAGGAGCCTCTGCCTTCTAAAACTGAACATACCGACTTTCCCTCTCTGCTTGAATGCATCTCTGGAGCAGAAGCATAAGCTGCAGCTCACCAACATTTGCAGAATTTTTCTCTTTAACAGCTCTCCGTGCTTTTTTTTAGTGATTCACACAACTTAGCCACACTGAAAGCTAAAGGGATATGCATAGCTTGTTCCTTGTAACTGAACAACTTTAAATATTATACAAGACTTCATATTAAACATAGGTACCCCCTGTAATTATAGCTTCTACAGTAATTCTATGGATGTTAAATGGATGTTAAATGAAAATAAAATGAAATGAAAATTAAGATGAAAATATCATGTCACTTCGACTTAAATGTATTTACCTTTATAAGAAGAGATTAAGCAATATCAAAGTAAACCTTTTAAACTAGTTTTCTTTTTCCTCAACAATTATTGGAAAAAACACACACAAATAAAATACATATAAATTATAATTTCCAGAAGTAAAGGGGTTTAAACACAAGGAAGAAGGCATGTCTCTAGATCAGATTGGGAATTCAGACAAGAAAGAAAAGAGGAATACCAACACCTTATCATTCCTTTCTAATTGACTAAACTGATGATAAAAAGTTGAGTTAAAGAATCCCCACAGAGAAGTACTTACAAGAGTTATGCAGAAATAAAATATAATTACAGGTGAATACCATAAGTATGTGCCACGATAGCATGTGCCAAAGCACAGTGTAAAGTTTGGCTGGTTTATATAATTTTGTGTTTGGAACACTAAATAAAAAAATGGAAACAACCATGCAGAATGTAAGGAAATGTTCTTAGCTACCATTTTATAATTTCTGTATTTTCAGAATATTAGATAGTAATGATTTCCCTACTAACAAAGGCAACTTTAAAAAATGCCCAACCAAAGAATAGATAGTCTTATACCAAAACACACCACAAAATTCACTTTAAAATTCAATTTATAAAGCTGACAGAATTTAAAAGTATAGTTTTATTTCAGTCTTCTCAGATAAAAACTAATTCTGTTTAAAAAAAAATTGCCAATTTTTTATTACATTTCTTTTTATCTAACATTTAATAAATTTAAAAACGTACAGAAGTTTAGGTGACAGAACAAAAAACCGAAACAATCAACCCACTCCTCTAAACATCTGTGAGCTTCTATCCTTTTAAAATTAATGAAGGGCTCAAAAATTTCCCTCTTAAGATGACTATCTAATTATCCAAATCCTCCCAGCTAGCATTACCAATTGATGTGTCCCATATATGCAGTATTGCACTAGTCAGCGCTTTCAAATCAATTTGCCACTTTAATATTCGAATTTGGTAATTTATAAACCTACCAAACTTTTAGTGGCATTACTTTGACATGGCTGTACAAGGCAGGGTGTTGAATACATACATGACAGATGTCTTAGTTGCTTATAAAGACAACACTAACTGTACTTAGCTCAACTCCCAGTAGCAAAAAATGGCAATATCCAGAGTAATTTTCTATATTGTACTAAACATACAAATCTTAGCAATCCCATTTAAATGCTGTTCAAAATTACTTCAGCCATAGAAATTCAAACAACATTCAGGCATTATGGGACTAAGGACGTACTACATAGTAGAACAATCAGTTTGAGTGAAATATTGTACTCTGTACTGGAAAAGATAACATTTTACTTCCCATCAACTAATATTTCTGGAAATAAACTAGCTTTATGGTCCCAAGGATTAAGTCACAACATTTCTCATAAGAAATGATTAATCTTTACAAAAAGGCAGGAAAATGAGACAGCTACTGCCACCCACTTTGACATTTTCGTTCTTTGAAAAAGAAAAAACAACAACCCCCCCCAACACAACAAAAAACCCATGAACTAGTTTATGAACAACAGCTATCAGTAACGCATATTGCCAGATGAAATAATTTATCAAGAGTATTTCTGAGATAACAATCTTTTACTCTCTGCATTGAGAGAACGCAGTGACATTAAACAGCTCTACTAAGAAATCTGATAAGCTTTGCCATTGAACACACAAGTCCTGAGGAAGAGGTCACATTTTCTATACCAGCTAAGCCTTGTATGAACACACACAGCCATACGCTTGTTGTTGTGTCCCACTGATGCTTGGAGTCCTCCTCATTTGTGGAAGGCTCACCTAAGAGTCCTTTTGGCTATTTGATACTTGCATCTACTTTGCACAGAAAGTAAACCAAACAGAAATCTGGTGATTATTCCAGTGCTCTCACTTACTTGAGTTATTTTATCAACACCTTGAAAGCCATGTTTCTCAAAATGTTCAGCTATATTTAGGAAGGTATGACGTTCCAGGTAACGGCAGTTACTGAGTGCAATTAAAAGCCTCTGTTCCTAAAAATTTGTTTTAAGAGAAGAAAAAGTATAATAATTAGAAAAAAGAAATATCAGTATAAGCAATACTGTAAACATATAGAGAGTATTTTATTGGCTCTGTGCATGATAAATATGCTCATAAATAAGGTGGCGTTTACAAATACTTTTGTCAATAAACCACTGAGTGAGTATCAGGTATGATGACTGAACATTCATGCTTTTTCTTATAGGATCCGGAGCATTCATTGGAATAGTTGTGACTAATAGAGAATCGCAGTTAAGACTTAACGAAAATTGGGTTTGGACAGCCTTCCAGGAAGCTGTTTCTGGATTTTACTATGTTTCAAGAAATATGGTAACAATTATGACCATCCTAAAATCAACTGAATATCATCTTCACTTTTACACAAAGCTGGCTAAAGCAAGGGAAGCAAAACAGGTACTGAACTAATGCACACCCACTCTAAAATACTAGAAGGTTCAGACAAATAAAATACAATTTCAGTCCTTTGAAAAAATTCTAGGTGGTTATAACCTCTCTCTGTTCTTCAATGATTTTTTGTGATTACAGGGGAAACAAATACATTCTGGAGTTGAGGTACCACAGTTGCCTTTCCCTGACCTTGATGTAACAAGGCGTAGTTTCCAAAGAACTAAACAAGACAGAACCACTATTTAAATAGATTGGGTATTCCCTCTTCCCTTCTCCTTCTTCCATTGGCAAAACATTTTTCTACCTCAGATGGAAGTTAAAAGTCAACCAAGAAAATATTTTGAAAACAAAATTATTTGACAATGAAGTCATAATAACAGCACTGATATGATTAAAAATGGTATTTGTTTTCAGACCCAGAACTCCTGACAGTTCTGTATTTTGGTAATACGATGACTAGTTTTGAGATGTTCAGTTGCCCACTACTTTAAGTTATAATCGGTTAGTATACAGATTGTTAAAAAAATGAGAATTTAAAAAATACAGTGACCAATCTTACTCTGATCATTCACTTTCTCTGTTTTCATTCCAGAAAGACAAAATGTTCTGTGATTTCTATAAAAAAAATAATGATACCATGGAAGCCAAACATTGTCTGAAATTGTTGATTTCTTCTTTTTTATTTAAATGTTCATACCTATGACATATGGCAGAAAGTTCCAGTCCCCAAAAAGTTAGATTTTTACATTAATTGTTGACAAAGTTAAGTGTTGCAATAATGATATAAAGAATATCTAAAAATTTTTAATAATTTCTAGATATTCTAATTTGTAATAATTATTAACATCTGCAATACAGAAACTTGCCCCAATTTGGCAACCTGTGATTCTTTTATTGCAGCAGAAATGCTTACTGCTCTTGTAAATGAGGCAAAGCTGGGCTTCTGACAACATTTAAAACCTGTACTAAGGAATATTAACTTCACAAGAGGTTCTCATTACCTCAAGCAGTAGTTTTTGCAGGTAAGGCAGTAGTATTTGCAGGTAAAAAACTACATTTTTTTTATAAGCTGCTGAACTAGAAGAAAGTACATTGACCAAAGTGTCAAGAATATCAAAAACCTTTTTTCCAATTTCCTAAAAAACCAAAACCAAACAAGTCAAACAAATAATCAATACTTCAATTAAATTTTCTGGGGAAAACTACATTACTGACTTTCTGTTATCTTAATGGGTTTTAAAAAGTAACTAATAATCAGACTGGTTCTAATTTAAAACAAGGTAAAAAAAATCAAATGTCAAATCTTCAGCTGACATAACACCAGTGCTTTTTTCACTGATTTCTGTGATGCCATTTTAGTTTCTGAGGAGGACCTGCTTTCAGAAATCATCTTCATTAGTTACCTTAAGACAGTATACTAAGATAACACAAAAAATAGTGCTTTTAATAAAAGCCTTATATTTAAGCCCTATATCCTTATATTTTCTCATGCTTATGTATCTAGGAAACGCCTCTAGAATACAAAATTGTTCTCTATAAAAAAGGAAAACAATATAAACAATTCTTACGATATTGCAATGATAAAAAAGAACCACATCCCTGTAACTTTGAAAAATATTTTCACATCAGCTTTTAGAAACAGAAGCCAAACTTACTGAAGAAAGACTTGAGTCTTCATGAATGCTTCCAAACAAATCTGGAGATGAAACATCAACTGAAAGACTAGGAATAATGTTTAAAAAGTGAGTAGTAAGTGCTTTTGACTATTTGATACATGGTGGATTTAAACGAACATGAACGAAATGGAATCTTGTTTCAAAGCCCCTCACACAGACAACAAAGCAGCCCATGTTGTACAGTTTTTCCAAGATGCCCACAAAGCCTTGCAGGAGCTTGGTGGACTGACAGTGCTATTCTAGCTACAGATGTTTCCTTCTTAAAGCATTTTACTTTTCTTTCTATAATTTCTGTTTTGCCACAGATTCTGTTTTGTTTTTACACCTATCCATCCAACAATCACTCATATAGGAAGAAAAAATAAATTGCATTAAAAACAGAGTTAATTTGCCATTTCCTAATGCATATTGCAATATTTGCCAAGTCTCTGGCTTTTCACAAATGAAAGCTTTTAGCTCTTGGAAACTCAGGCTACTCTGACTTGTTTTGTGTGTCACTGAATAACATTGTATAGGTAATATCATATTAATTTTCTTCTACAATATTTACTACATGATGTCACGCAACTGTTTGGCATAAAAAAGTATATGCTCTTATTTCAAAGCATTACTATTCAGAGGCAAAAGTATTCACAAGAAATATGAAGTAGAGAAGGGATAAAGCCACAACCCCACTGAAATGTAAGACTTGCACCCACAATTTTAGAATACTACACCTAAATCTTATTTCTTTTTACTTACTGTGATGTATCTATGTCGCCATCAGGTTTGGTGCTCAGTTGTTCCAAACAGTCTATAAAGACCTAGGAAACAATAAAGGAAGATCTACATTTTCTGCCAAAACTGAAAAAAAAATAAATCTTAAATTCATTTTTACTACAGTCAATAGAAGCAGAACAATCATCATCACCTTTCTTTGTGTTAAACCTTACATAAACACAGTAAAATTTCAGTTATAACTTTTGAATGCATATTTTCTACTTTGTAGGTGTCATAGTTTACTTGTAGCAAAACACGGGAATTTTTAATACTGATAAGTCATTTTCATCGTGCATGTCTAAAATGATACAGTGATAATCTGCTGATTTGCAAAGGAAGCACTGGTAATAGTTGTCATGTGTTCAATCTGAACACTGGATCCCAAGGAAAAATTGCAGAAGCCTCATTAAAATTCATTTTTTGCTTTGGCTTATGATTTCTTATTTGAGGAGACTATAAAAATCCAAAGAATGCCATTTAAATAGCTTTAAAAAAAATCGGATTTTGTTACAAAGAATATTGGTTTCTGATAGAAAAATTAAAAGCTACATTTTCAGCTGATGAAAATCGGCATTGCTCTTTTTACTGCAGTATATAGATGTTAGATGGCATCAGCTCAGTAAGTGTCCATTGTCAGTAAAATCTTGAACAATCACAATCAGCAAAATACTTGAATATGTCTCTTATCCTCTGAGGATTTGGCTTCATCAGATTTAGCTAGTAAGCTCTACACACTTTTAAAGTCAATATTTCTCAGTATCCCAGAGTGTATCAGAGGAATAATAACAGTCATCAAATCAAGCTAGCTTCTGGGAGGTAGGCAAGGTACAAAGTACACATTTTGGATGGTGACTTGTGTTCACTATTTCATACTTCAAAGCGCTCCAGTTACCTGCATGATCCCAATGCTTAGCTGGCACACATCCTCCTGTGTCTTCTGCTGCTGGAAAACCTGAGGATGCAAGCATATTATTTCAGCAGAACAGCTTCCTTATTCTCAAGGAAGGCCTGAGTAATCCATCCCTAAAGAGATGACACAATTAGAGGAATGGCTGCTGGGACACAGTGTTTTCCCATCCTAAAAATGGGAGAGAAAATACAAGTCCCAATAAATAGTTTGATAAGCATGAGGAGATAACACACCAAAAGGAAGGAAGTCCTAGTACATGTGATACGTATCATTGTTGGCTAATGGAGCAAAAAGCTCCAGGATGGAGCAAAAACTCCCAGGATATTCAAAGATCTTTGCATCCTAATAAAGAAGGATTCATCACGTAAGTGAATTCACTGCAGATCCTTCTGAAAAATCTTCATTAAGAAATTAGACAAGCTAGCCATAAAGATTAAAATAATGGAGGAGAGAGAAACCATATCTATACAGAGGGGCCCAAGGGAGTTTGGAAAAGTGTTAAACTCCCTTAGAATGCTGAAACCTGAAAGAAAACATTAGTATCACAGTAAACCAGGGCCTCAAAGTACTGAGTGGATGGGGACAGAAAGCTGAGTTCAAGTTCTGCAAATAGTTTGGATGCAACGCTGAGTGAAGAGTAACTCCTAGGAATGGCCTCTCCCTTCCTTTTTTTTTTACAGATGTAAAGTAACATCTACTGCTATCTGAAACTTACATGAGTAGCATTTATTTTTCAAAAGAACAACTTTAAAGATTTAAATATAGGTTCAACCTGCCCCGCACACAAATTAGCTCTAACTAAGGAAGCACAAGCAGAATGCTAAAATCTGGCAGAAGTGAAGAGGGTGCACATGGAAAAAAAATAAAGAGGAAAGTTTTACCCCTGGATCATTCTCTGAAAGTTCTTTTTATGTAAATTAATTGGTTTCAGAACAAGAACAAAATAAAAGCATAAATCAAAACTTACGCTTGCCTCTCCAGGTTTGCAGTCCAGCACGGTTTTAAGAGATTGCAAGGAATGAATAATGCACTGTTCAAACTGGGATGGCTGAAAGTCAAATGAGTTGTTAGCTTTAGACAAGCATCTTAAGTATATACCACACAAATATATAAAAACTTCCAAAGTATACAGTAAGCTTTTTATTTCCAACTTATCCCAAATAAGGGGGGGGGAGAGGATCACAATTTGTATATTGCCAGAGGATCCTTTTGTACTAATGCACTTTTGTACATAAGTTATCTACAGAATTATTACCATAGATGAATGTACATTTTTTTATATGAATGAGAGACTTTTACACCAAACAGCCTCTTACAAAAGGGTCATGAAAGATTTTCACAGTTGTTTGTGGCAGCATTACAGATACCTGTGACACACTTCCTCCTGTCCTCATTGATCCAAGTTGGGATAGAATTTCACCTAGGATATCAGATATTTCTGCATTCTATTTCTGCAAAAGGTTTCTAAGAAAATCGGACTGAAATGGCTTTCACATGAAAGACAAAACCCCCACTGGTTTGGGGGGCTTCTTTTACCTTCAGGTTTCCAAACCTCAAGTGTAAGTATCTTGATACATATATCAATATCATTCTGAAAGTGCAAACAAGTTCACAGGAGAGTCATTAGTCATTTTTTCCTCGTCTTTCTCTCTTCCCTGGTAACTCACACTTTATTTTTTTAAAGCTGCTGGTATTGGGCATGAGGCTGTTGTGCAAGGCAACATGAAGCAGACACTGCTCCAAAAAAGAAAGACATCATCCTAGTGGATTTGGGTAAAAGTGAACAAAAAAGTTTATAAGCCACATAACCTTGCTTTTCATTCAGTAGATAGTTTATGGCATGTCACCAACTGGCTTAGGAGTAACTTTTATTTCTGTAAATGGTGGAGATGGATTGTGAAACTGATGCCCGCATGGCAAAATTACAATCATGAAAAAAGCCAGTAAGAAAATCTATATTTATTATTTTTCGATTCCTTAAAAGAAAAAGGCCAGCAGTAAAGTGCTGCTTTTGGGTTTTTGCTTCTACACAATAAAACATCACACCTCAGGAGAGGAAAGCTTTTCAGATACTTGCTACTTTGGATATTATGAAGCTAAGAAAGGCTAGTTCTGTGTTTCACTGTATCTTTTACCTGGAATATAAATGTTAAAGTGGTTATCAACCCGTATTTCCTGCAAACTTAAAACACAATTTCACTCTCCAGCCTAAGATGTCCCTAAAGAGACTGCCTGGCCCTTTTTCATAATGCTTAATTTTTGCTAGTTTTTGCTATAATATTACCACAATGAACTCTAGTAGACAAATAACCTTTCTATGAAAAAACACAGTCAACTTCCACCACTAAAATCTGGCATGTCTCAGCCAAGACCTCAAAAGGTATCTAGGCAGTGCAGTATACAAGGAATTAATAGGCGATTTCTAAACACAAAAAAGACTTAAGCAGTTTCTTAATAAAGATAAGTTAGGATACAGCACGAGCATAAGGAAACAACACTTTTGTGGAAGACCCTTTCCCCTGCCTCTATTTTACAGATGAATATAGTGAAAACCAGAAAAGTTAAGGGACTTGCCCAAGTCTGCGGCAACTGAAATCGAGATCAGAAGCTGTAAATCTGGTTATAGTACTACAATTGCCCAACAACACTCCTTCCTACAATATGTATATTGTGACTGCTTATTGCCCTCCTACTCAACTTCTAACACATATTTATAGAAGCAAATAAGAAGAACTAAAAAAGTCTGTGGAGCATTCTCTTAGATAATATACACAAAGCAACTCTCCCTCCCACAGGCCTTTTCTGCTTTCGCAGATTGTTTTTAAGTCACACCTACAACGTGCTTGCTGTGTTTTAGGCATTACTCATTACTGTTTATTTCCAGAAAGTATCTCACTAATTTATCTGAATTTGGTTTCAAGTCATTGGTTGTTTGCATGTAGGCAATCTCCTAAATTAGTTGCTTTTCAGTTCAATTTCTCATTATAACATATAAGTGACCTATTTATTTAGCTACAGACCAATTCCATGGTAATGTGCCTACTAAGTTATGAAGCATTTTGATGTGAACTGAACTTGTGACCTCAAATATGACTTTTTACTTTAGTAAACCATCCCTAAAATAAGATGATTAACAATGGAAGTTATTATTGTTTATCTCAGCAAAAGCATGCTAGAGGTCAGCAGTAATTACACTGACACATTTAAATAACCCTATTTAAGGCAGAAAGCCATGGTATGTATCTGGATGTCAAATTCTTATTTATATTTTTCTCTTAATATACAGCACAAATTTGCAAAACTTTTATTTATGATGGGGGTTTTTTTGTTTTGCACCTTCAAAAATAGTGCTGTCTAGTAGATCTATTATCACTTGAAGTTACTTCACATAAAAAGTTGCTACACATAAAAAGTATAAACAAAAAGTTTGGAAAAAAGAGCAACAAATAAATTTGTGTTTGTGATGACATCTGTTAAGATTGCTATAAAGACATTGTAACCATTCATACAATTTTTTAAAAATTATCTTGTTATATTTTCATATTTTTATAAAACTATAGACACCAGTATGCACACATATAGAAAAAGTCCAAAGTTACTTGATTTTTGGACAATATATTTTGGACAATATTTGTTACACATAAAAAAAAAAAAATCCAGCAAAGTGCCTACCAGACACCAAGTATACCCACCAATGATGTCAAACCTTCATTGTCAACAACCCAGTCTTCCTTTTCAGCTAATCTCTTTATATCTGTAAGACAGAGTAAGAGGGGAAAGGGGGGATGGGGGTGTGGGGAGAGAAGGTATTCATTTTTATTATTAAAAACTCCTTGAACTTGAAAAGATAAACCACAGACATTGGGACTGCAATGACTAGGCATACGAGCAAATAGCACTAAAAGCTTCAAAGCTTTCAGCACTCTCAAATGACTCAGAATGGAACTCATACATGGTATGCTGGTGACACCACACAGAGAAACACATCTATGATACATGGCAAGAGTTACATGCAGCACATTGTTTACTGGAAAGCTTAAAATTAAAGCAATATTGTGAAGCTTTGAGTTTGTTTTTATTTTGTAAATTTTTAATCATAACATAAAATACTGCATTTAAGAACCCAAGTCTCTAGTCTATTATATTCCAACTCTTAATTAAAAATGAAAGAACAACTGCCTAACCTTTTAGCAAAGACGGAAAGGACAGCATATAATTCATATTCAGAACTATAAAAGAGGCACAAGGTCCCCACTCAGGGTCAAGGATCCATGATACAAGACTTTCTTAAAAAAATACATGAAGGTGTATGCAAATAGCACTCTTCCACTACTCAGAAGGTGTCAACTTCTATTGGCTTACTAAAGCTAACAGGAGCTAAGTAGGGATGTGAATCCAAAGCTCATGGGCTACAAACACAACTGTTATATGGACATGTGCATTATGCATTGTAAACAGAACAAAGATGAACTGTGTGCAGTTTGTGGGGCTTTGACATACAGTTTTCCCCCACACAAACTGCTCATCAGAACTGTCTGTACATTATCAAACTCCCTTTTAAATGAGCAAAAATTTCAGTGAATTACCATCTCTCCTTAAAATACAAGAAAAGAGGATAACTAATTCACACTGAAAGGTATTTTCACTATCTAGGTGGTTTAATCAGCTAACTTAAGAAGCTTGGTCATAGCATCATACTCTGCAGTTCTGTATCTCATGGAAGTATAGGCTCAGTAAGGATAAAAAGCATTAAGGGGTTGTGTAGAATAATTACTCTGTTCATTTTCCTACTTAGTAAACCTCTTAATTCAACTGATATTCTTGTAAGGGTTTAGATTGTACTGGTCAGCCTTTACATGTTTCTTTGGCTGCTCACTTTTGCATTCTCTTCTTAGCTAATACAAATATAACCTCCCCCAAATTTCTTTCTCATATTTCACTGCTCACCAAATTCCAGTCAAATACATTCATGTAAACCCCCTGTCTACTCTGGCATTCACATAATTTGTCTTTCATGACCTTTATGAGCAGTGATCACATATGGGAGGGAAAGAATACAGACTGCCTCTCAGGGCCAGCATGTATACATGGTGTTCATCCTAAGACAAGAAAACCCTGTGTGTGGGCTGAAGTGCTCTATTGAATATTTTAACTACATCTGAATTGTAACTACATGTGAATGCCTTTACCAACTTATAACATGCAGAGAGAGATGAGATTGACCTTGATATCAGCACCTTATGCATCTCATGTTTTGGAGATATTAGAGAGGTAAAATTCAAGTCCAGGAGGAGCTTTTTTGACTTATGTATTACAGATAGCTACATCTGAGATACTTTTACATAGCTCCACGAGAACACTGAAAATACCCATTACTTGTTCTTTCACTCATTCCCTAATAATAGTTTTTCCAAGGGCCAAATTAACCTGGTTGCATGCAGAAAAAAGCCTCCATTATCTAAATACATTTAGCAGTTAAAATTTTGCTTTAGTTGGCAAAGAACAAAAAAAAAAAAGGGTCCATGGACAAGGCGTGCAGTGCAGCAGTATAGAATGAGAGTCATAATACATGCAGGCATCTTTCCTCCTGTTTGATGCTATAGCCAATACATTAGCTTTACTGATAGGGGATGAAAGCTGCAGTCAAGGAAGGCTGCTGTTATGGCTATCCAGCCAATAAAACACACTGCCAACTTTAGAGATCCATTTCTTTTGATTCAAGACAGAAAAGTATGAATAAAGATGTTCAGATCAAATAGAGAATCATTCACATATAGACTTATAGCTTTTATAAAAATCTAAGGTACAGACTACCACAAGATTTTTTCCTACACAGAATGTGTGTGGCCAGGAGTCAGAACATAACAGAGCAGAAACTCTGCATTCAAACCAAGAGCTGGGCTACTGCCATGATGCAACAAGCAGGCAAAACTGGTAAGACAGCAGATTTTTCCATCATTTATCACATACTGGAGCTCTCTGGACTGTGCTGGAGAAGCTACATAGATAGTTCAGAGATTTGGTAAGCTCAGAATTGTCAGCAAATCGGTTTATAGCTAGATACTTCCTTCCTTTGAAACAGTAAGACATCTGAGGAATCACACTCAATTCACAGACAGTGGAATAAGACCATCCTCATGTCACAATTAAAAAAAAAAATCTTTTTCACCCTCTATGATGAAAAAACAAACAACTGATCTCAATTGTGCTAAGAAAAAAATAGGCAAAACAGACTTTCTCATCGTTTAAGTGAAATCTGAAATAGTGGTAATACTTTTCAAACAGAGTTTTACAGAGGTAGGACAACGTATGTACTTGTTTGGCTAGCTAGCTTAATATTAATAGAGAAAAATAATGTTAATAGTGAAATAGGGTTTAACAAGACAATTAAGAGCCAAGAATACAATTCATATCAATACTATATCAAATACACTACAGAGGCCTAATGATTGCTTGTCACCACAAGTTTAAAAATTTGCTTAATATAGCCACCTATGCTTGGCACATTTAAACTTTGAGTAAAACTCTTTGCATCATGTCAGCCTACAAAATCATCATATGTTAAAGATTAAAAAGTGATTAAATTGTAAGATTAAAAAAGCCCCAAATTTTTTAGCATTGAGAGTAATTAGTCTTTTGGAAAAAAAACAACCAAAACCCTGCTAAGTGAATCAGTAGATCAATCTGTCCTTATTTTAAGAGAGACATTTATTTCTGAAAGATTTATTTAATCCAAATTTAAGTTTCAGAGTTGAATACAAGATGGCAAGATGAATGGTCTCTGATGGCATAGAATCACATGAGATTTAGAGAATGCGTTACTGGCCTTCACTATCCAGACATTTATGGCAAAATTGTGTACACAGCAGGAAGCCCTGGGGACTACAATGTTAGTAAAAAGCGTTGGAAAACACACAACTAAAATACTTCATAAAGGGCTGTGGATTGGTTTTTTTTTTGTCCTTGAGAGTGGGTCACTGCTCATTTAATTCTTCACGTTATAGAAAAATTGGAAAAAAAAAATTTTATTTCCAATATGGAAAAACTGCATTATGAGATAAATCACTTGCACTGTAGAACTGTCTCAACTCAAAGGAAACAAATCTAACCTACTCTATTCATCAGACCAAGAGAGGAAAAGACTTCTATTTCTGGCAGGAAAATGAAATATTTGAGTAACTCTTGTGAGATATTACAGAACTCAGAGGAGTCCACTGCCACTACAATATATGTAACAAACATGGTTATTTTTCAGAACGTGATTTGGCCTAAGCAAAGGCAAAAAAGAATGACAGTAAGCAAAGAGACTTGCAGCCCTCTATTACCTTCCGCTGTGTGTTGTAAGGTCACTATAATGCAGCGTACACGAAGGTCCAAAATAAGATCTTGGATGATCTGAAGCATATCATTGGGTATCTCGAGTGCAGTAAGACTCTCAGAACTAAGCCTGAAAGCAAATAAAAATAGAAGTATAAATCTGCAGGGTTTTTAAAGCTGATATAACTACATTAAATTTTTTAGAGATTTTCTGTGTATGTAAATATAATAGCTCCATCCTCAGTGTATCTTTGAAAACTAATTACACTATTTTGAGAAGATCAATTTTTTACTTAATTCAAAAGACTGCAAATGAAGATTTAATTTTCTCTAGCATTACAATAATGTCATCATGGCAACAGGCCAACTTCTTCTACTGTCTTCTTGTTTCACCGCCTGCCTTTTTGCATCCATCTCTTGTCCTATGATCCAAGAATAATCCTTTTGGAGCAGAAGTAGCTTTTTTTGCTGTTTTTAGGTTAATGCCTAGATCAAACACAAGATCCACAACATGGTTTTTGAGATATTTTTTATCTGCATGGCAAAAGTAGAAGTGATTAAGTTGTCATAAATGGTGCTGTGGCTATGCATCAGATCGCTAAGAGTATAGACATTTAAGGAGCCAAAATATAGCTATTACATCATGTGCAGAGTGAATTCATTCCTTGTTTTGCTTCCAACTCTGACCAGGCACAAATCATCTGCTACTATAGGTGAGAATGGAGACATTATTTTCTGTTTTTTCCTTTAGAAATAGCAACATAGCAGCTGCCTGCAAGAAATAGCATTTCAGCTTTCTAATAAAAGGCTGAAGTTGTGCTAAGACTCAGTTAGGGGCACAAAGTGAGGTTAAGCACTTTTATCCAACTCCTGGATATTTGAGCAAGGCCAATTCAAAGGCAGACGTCTGCCCTACTCCTAACACCAAGCAAAGCACAGGTAATAGAAAGTGCCAAAGAGGAGGAATACGAAGGCACAAGCAAACAAGTGGAACATTTCCAACCATCCACCTGTAGGCTCCAGTTCCATACTCCTGGTGTTGGGCATAAACCATCAAAACCCCAATATTAATCAGACTGCTCTCTGCTCAGCACAACTACTGAATTAGTAGATTAAAACGATCTGTACTATCTCAGCCAGCCAGGATACACAGAATGTAAAGATCCATCTGTGAGAAATTCAAGCTACTTTAGACTGAACAGAAGTCCTGTACTTTAGAGTTGATTCCATTTCTTAAGGAGCACACAGCTGTCATATCCCTAAGATCATCTTTTTCCTCATATAATTCACCCTAACACACACATACCTTTTATATTTTTATAGTAAGGTAAAAGTGTTGCCAACAATGGTTCACTTGATCACATAGTTCATGTGATCTGGAACCTGTTTATACTGGGTTAAGACAGAATAGGGTACAAGAGAAAGACTGTGCTACCATCCCACTTTAAGCTGTGTGATACATACATATGACAAAAAAAATAAAGATAACACAGATATAATGACAACTCCTTGTTATATAACATTGTGAGTTTTATCATTCTTAAATACAAGCAGAAAACAGTAAATCATTTGTGAGATGACAGAAAAGAGTAAAATTCTATTATGTGCTTCATCATGACTTTAAGTTACAAACCATGAAAATAAGACAAGTTATTACATAACTTTGCAACAAACAGAGGTTTTATGCATTGTGTAGATTTTTCTTGGGAACAGCCCACCTTCATCACTGGTGCGAGTCACAAGAATTTATCAGATTGTCAAAGCGTGGGGGCTTGAAAATAAAAGTACTTGCAACACTTGCATAAAATTCTGACCTGGTCAACACCCTATAATGGTATATTTAATTTCTCTTACCCAGACTGCCCCCTTTTCTTCTCTACTTCTGATTGCTTTGCAGTAAAGTCTAGTTCACTTTACTAAAGTGCCATCACAGGCATTGGTAAGAACATGAGGTGGGGAAAAGAGTGGGAGGGAGAAGAGGATTTCCCCAGCTCTCAGTTCAGTTGTTCATTACCAGGGCAGTGCCCGGAAAGCAAAAGGAGATTCTCTGAAAGAGAGCCTTCATATACCCTATAACCTCAGCCTGGATCTTATCTCAGATGGCAGAAGCACAACTAACCTTTAGAGAATCTGTTGGTTACATTTCCAAGCCAATATTACAGATGTGCAAGTGCTAAATTCTAGAATTTTATAATTTGAGTGAAACTGGATTGCTTATCATAAAGGGGCAACACTGCCCTTTATATCTTTTCATCAAATATCAAGTCAGTTCCTTGTTAAATCAGAAGCTTTCCACAAAATTTAGCCAGAATAACAAATTTCACGTGGAATTTTTTTTTCTAGATGGGTACAGTACAGATAATGTGACAACAGACTTTGAGAATGTTAAACAGACTTAACAACAAGTATATATCACTGCTAGGTCCATCTGCACTAAGTATATCTATAAGTGGTTATACCTCTTTCTTCATCTGTGCTTTGCTTGTTACCTGCTTTGAAAACTCTACATAAAAAGTACAGTATCATATGCAGATATTACTCAAGTTTACAAAAGATAATGACAGTTCTTGTAGCCCCCTTAGACAAATGGAAGCAAATTCTGCATATTAGTGTGATATTTCTAATTAATGAGATGCATATTACTAATTTTATAAACAAATATAATGATAAGCAGAATGACATTATAAGCAGGAATATCACCTTCCATCAAACAACTGTAACGGTAAATTATGATCTAAGAATGATACAGTAGTCAGAAGCATGATATTTTCACCCATTTTTGCAAAGATTGGAAGATGTAGCAAATGAAGCAAATAATTGCTTTCTACCCTAAAGAATCAAATCCTGTTTCATTCATTGAGTGTCTATGCTGTGCCAGGCAAATATTTTACTCCAACTTTTTCACCAGATGCTAAGGGGAAAAAATGAATATACTGTTATGTAATAAGGCTGTATCATAGAAGATGTCACAGATTATTCTGAGTTGGAATGGACTCTCAAAGATCATTCAGTCCAACTCTTAAGTGAATGGCCAAACCCACAACCTTGGATCAAACCCTTGATCCAACCATGGATCAAAGCCACAACCTTGGTATGATCATGAGACATCAGTAATTACACTTGTACACAGAATCCTAAATTTGCCATAAGAAATTTTTTTGCAATCCTATTTTTGAAAATGTTAACATTCTCACAACTCGGGGTATTTAACACAATGAACAAAACATTCCGTCTCAAAACACATGTATTCCAGGAATAGCATGTTTTTGTAGGTCCACTGATTCATTTACCTTACAGTTTGGATGACATGTGTTAGCCACTGGCCAGAAAGTTCAGATTTCATCTCCCAGCCACCATACTGTCTTAATTCTCCTTCTCTGAGGCTGAATGGAAGCAAGGCTCCACGGATAAGTTTTACCAGAGAGTGCATCACTTCCTGAATCATTTTCTGCATCAGAAGATGGGAAAGAAAAAAAATCAAGGAAAAAGCTCTACCAATATGCTTAAGCAGACATGTACTTGCTATACATAAGAGCTATGAACGTATGATTTACAGGTGGTTACACATGGTAGAGAGTAAAGGAGAAGGAGGCATAAAGGCACACAAATGATTAAAGAAATCTGATTTTCAAGGTGGTGACACTAAAGTACCTTGCTATGAAGGACAACTGAAAGAAAGTAAGGGTCTCCCTGCCACATCTCCCCCAGCTACTTACCTTGAAATCATTTTGTCTTTGCCTAGCGTTTTTCTTTGATCTTTCCATTTGGCCAGATTTTTCAGCAGTCTTGTGAAAATGAGAAAATTGAAAAGTGTAAGTCTCTTATAACCACTGTTAAAATAATTCTGAAAAAGGGGGTTTCGAAGTGAAGAAGTGAAAACTGATGAGTTTATGATGCAATTATAAAAACTAACTCATGGCATTTCAATAAGCAAAGACTACATATATCTCAATAAACTCTACTTACTGTAGGTCAGAAAGCTAATGTTTAACTCTAAGGAACAATGTGTACTTAAGACAAAGTCAGAGACAAGCATAAGAATAGCTAAATACAAACTTCTTGAGGTCAAAATTTTTTCACCACAGTGCTAGAGAGAACTAAAACATGTATAGTCCAATTGTGCATTAGGTTTATATAAAAAAACCTCTATTTTTTCAGCATGGAAGCTGACCAGAGAAAGACATCAATGTCAAGTACGAGATAATTTTTGGAATGAGGGCAATTTGGAATTGCAGGATGTGAGGGAGAGGGTTGAGGGGGGGGTTTGTTTGGTTTTAGGAACAGTATTTTGTGGAAAATTCTCTTTAAATAATTCAATTACTTGTAAAAGAGTCTCTGCAAAATAAGTGACATCTTCACTGTCAGTCCTCTGAAAACAGAAGAATCTGAGTACACTTTGCATGAAAGTTACACTTGAAACAAAACATGCTTTGACTAGTAGTCTTCCTGTTTGTAGTTCTAGCCTTCTGTGGAATCTACTGAGCACACAGTAAATTACACTGACAAAGTTATTTCAAATACCAGGTTAAGTGCAGATACTGTGGAATTTTAGTTAGAAAATCTCCTGGTTTATGCTTGTACAGCAACATCTACTGGACAAGAAGTGCAACAACATGACAAGAGTGTTCTCAAAGAGAATCAGCTTACTTTCAAGTAATTAATTTGAAATGCTGTATTTTTCACAATCCCTCTAAATTAAAGTACTTAATATTTTTAAGGTAAAATAAATAATTTGAAGTGAACAAAAATTAGAGAAAAATAAAACTATTTAACAGTTTTGGAAAATACATAGCTATGAAAATATTGTACTTTTAAGCTCTGAATTATATGGTTTCAGACAAGGAGAACAACATTCAAGTTATTGCTGCATATAATTCCCAATTCTTTCATCTAAAGCTTTAAAAAGAAAATAAGCTGTATTCCTTGAAACCTCAGATAGCAACTTAAAATTCACAGTCTTTTACAGCTGGATTTAACAGAACAATTCATAGATCTTTGATATCTTCTTTTTTCCTTAGTGGTTTTGCTGAAGACCAATCTTAAACCTTTCCTGCACAGACAGACCAAAACTATCTTGTGGTAAGATCAACGGTTACTCCTCACATATGTGATTTCACCCAAGAGTGATTCAAAGAACTCAACTTTTCAAACTGTTGAAATACCACATAAATTTTTAACTGACAATATTTTAAGTCATTTTTAACCTTTCAAAATTAAAAAGGACAATTCCCCCCCAAAAAACCCTACAAACTGAACAAGAGAAGATACATCTTGAAATTGATATATGGAGATTTTTCCTGTATTTTTAAAATGCCTTGAAGACTTGAATAAGCTAACTGAAATAACCCTCTATGCCATTTTTCACAGGATGCTTCTTAAAAATAAAAGTAGGAATCACCTCGCTTCCTGAATAAATAGCAAGCAATGTAGTAAAAGAAATTTCTTCATGGACAATTAAAATCTCTACTATTTCTGATAGAAAAACATACAAATTTTCAGTCTTGAATGCAAGGTGATCACAGATAGTATTAGGTGTTCTAGAAGTCTCCTAGCTTATGCCACCCCCTTGTCTCACTCATCCTTAATTGACTGTGGCACGCAGAACACAAAGAAGGAATGAAGGATACGATCCCTTCTCTCTCCCCAAGAACTTGTGGGGCTTCTGTAAGGACCACGGGAGCAGAAGAAATCATATGTATGGGGATTCATTTCTCAGCAGCTCAGAATTTGGCCCTAAGAACAGGAAAACTACCTCTCTTGGTTTTTTTAGTACATTGAAACAATGTTTTGTTCAGGCATGACATAAGATCACTACATTTTCCACTTGTAGTCATTTTCATAAGCAGAATTTCTCAGCCTTGTTTACAGTTCAAGTCTGTTTTTCTAGAAATTGCTTTATTTTTCACTGTACACAGAAAAAAAAAATCACAGGAACTTAACAGGTGAATTTGTAAAGTTCGGTTTTCAATTGTCTGTCAAATATAAAGGTTGTCACTTCCCTTACGAAATTATTTTTGTGAAAGTCAACAGTACTAAGGTTTATTCTTGATTCTACTTCCTTCACTGAACATTAGGTGTAAATGCTGTATCTTTCTTTTATCATGTAAAATGAGGATCACAAATAGAATCGATTTCACTGGAGCTATAACGCACTGTAAAATGTGTTCATATAAAGGGCTATAAATAGTGGCATTAAATAGAACGAATGCTTGATACGTTAATTCTTTAGTTAAAGAAATGGAAAATGAGAACATAAGCTTCCAAATGTCCTTTTTCCAAGGCTTTTGTTTCATTTTCTACTAAAGCTGCAAAGAATAGTAGATATGGCTGCAGTTCTGTTTGTAGTAGAATACTGTATGCACAATGATTTAAGAACTGAAATAGTGTGTATATAAAAATGGCATGTGTCATGAATCATTACTTTTGTTTTTCCCCTGCTTCTTGGATTATCAAGATTATATTTACGTGATTTAGAACAACCAGATAACCGGAGCAAGAAGGACTAGAAGCAGAGGTGATTGCAGCTGACTGCACTTCCAAACTGGACTCTCTCTAGTGTGCCTGTGAATACTACTCTGGGCCTTGGTCATTTTGCAACCCTGGTCTCCAAGCTACCCTCACTTCCAAACACTTAAAACTCAAGAAATGAGTACTCCTTTTCCAAAGAAAGGAAACAATATTTTTCTGTATGACTCTGTCTTTTACGAATCTATCTTTCATGCAATGTGCTATTTCTTCAGATCACCAATGAAGGGCCAGCTATGAGTAAGAGGTGACAGTACAGAGATATAGAGTCCAGCAACTAGAACACAGACAAACACAAAGACACACTCATACAACCCCCACCGTCAGAATTTGTAGTAATTCCACTGTATGCCTACATTCTTTTAAAAATAAAAAGAAAATCCTCTTATTAAAATGTCTTCTTCCAGTGAAATATAATACTTCAAACATAATTATTACAGACCTTTGTTACTTAAAACTCATTTATATAGAAGAATCCATACCTCACTGAATAAACTTCCATTCACGTAAGAAATCCAGAGCTTCCAGAAGTTGGGCAGCTGACTTACAACGAGTTTTGTCAACTTCTCAACAAATATAACTTGCTGAGGAGCTTTGTATCGCCAAGCTAAAAAGGGGAGAGGAGATGTAAAAAGCAACATTAAAAATTTTACAAATAATAACAATGTGTTTTTTAGCTTGCTGCTGCTTTGTATTACATGTGACTATAGAGTATATATAAAACTTTTCAGATAGAAAGGAAAAAATTTAAAGCCTAGTGCACATATGTGTACAAAATTTGTATACATACAAGCTCTTTCGTCTCTTCTCACATGCTTACAACGTTTTAGCACTACGACAGTATATACAGAATGGGTTCTTTGCAGGGGTGTCTAAGGCAATCGACCTAACAATCCATTCAGTCTTTTCCCTTCAAACCGTTCTAAAAAGTAAGGTTACATGAAAGCAATCAAGATATTAAAAAAGTTTCAAATGAAATGTTTGCAACAGGTAACTTTTCCCATTTTCTTTTCCAATGGGGCAAATGGAGATTGTGGGGGGAAAGAGGGTAAAGAGAAAGCTGAACAGAGGCAGAAGAAAAGCACTAATATACACATATATAAAAAAATAAAGCAAACTTTGTGAAATATTCTTCTATAACCTTTTGCGATTACAATTGTTTAACAAAATAGGCTATCAGAATAACAGTGATAAGAGACTTGTATTTCACCTCAAGAATTAGAATCTACTTTAGAACACCTGGAGAAAGAAATCACAGATTTTTGAAAAAAAAAACAAAACCAAAACAAACAGCCCAAACCCCCACAAAACAAAATAAAAACACTTTAAAATGCCATGTTTATTGGTGTGAGGCTTTTTGGTGTATAAACTCAGGTCTTCTACAAATGATAAATTTAAAAATGTGGTATTATCCTAAATAACTCTGTGGAAGTGCAGAAAAATGTTGCATGAAATAGTACTTTTTGTATTTACTTTGCTGGAGAATACTGCCTACAGAGAACAGGAATTCACCAGTTAGGCAAAAATAGCTCCACATTACATAACTAGCAGGCTTCACTAGAGCCTCACTATTTTATTGTGTTGGTAGACAGTCTTGAAGCTCCTTTAAGTACATCATGCCTTCAGCAGCATCCATTTGTCAAGATGCAGGTCAAATACTGGCCCATTTTTTCAGCGGAGAAATAAATGTCTGCACTACCCAAAATATTATTTTTTCTCATGGCCAAAAAATTAAGGCAATCTGGATTAGCATTTGAAAATAATATCACAATGGAAGCCCAAAATTTGGAAAGAGGCTCTGACATAACTCAAGTGCAACTGTGCTGATTGAGATGCATCTGTTTAGGAAGCATGAATACTTCAAAGCTCAACTAGAAGAGCTCGTAGTGTGGACACAGACAAGATACTTTCGCTAGCTTGGTTTATGACTGTCAGAGAACTAGTCTAGACCCAGTGCAAGAAATACTATTATTAACATAAGCTGTGACTACGTCAGGAAGCTGTGCCAACACTCCTATAGCAGCAGAGGTTCTGTAATGTCTACAAATCCCAAGTTCTAACCAAAAACTTTCTATTCCTTCAAGAAACCATTTCACCTTTGCCAAAAGCTAACCCAAAGAACCAGGGATGTCTGATTGTAACTGGAAACATAGTGGCAAGATTTATTGCATCTTTGAAATTCTTTTCTCCTCCAGGAAGCACACTTTAGGCTTAGTCCCAAGCCTACAGAAAGCAGATACTTCCTAGGATAAGCTATTGTACATCATAACAAAAGGTTCTGGCCAGAAATTCAGGATTTTTTACTTTGCTGCTAGAGAAAGCTCCAATCTATATTAAAACAAAAATTTACTTTAATTCCATTTATTCTATTATAATCTCTGCTATAACAACCTAAAGATGAAACTAGAGCTATTGTCTGTTGTTTACAAATTCTCATGAACATATGTTCAAGCAAGAGTTGAATGTTACATCCATGCTGCAGTTTTGAATTCATAGTAATTTCTTCTAACAATGTCTTGGACAATCACTGTCAAACACATTGGACAAAAAAATCCAAACACACCAAAACAGCCCAGAGATGCCATTCCTCAAATCTACTAAAAAAAAAAAAAAGATCCACAAGCGACCCAAAACCAGAGCACATTGCACATGGCACATTTGGAATGGCAGCTCTTGCATAGGTATTGGTTGGTTTTGTCTCTGCATTCAGAGAAGAGCAAGGATGGCAGAGCTTCCAACTGTTCCTTCGCATGCATCAGTCATGTGCACCTAAGCACCAAGGAACTCAACTTGGAGGTAACTCATTCTAACTGTAGGGTCTTTGGGGTGAATTATTATAGTGCTCCAATCCTTACAGTTTTCCTCTGAATCTTGGTTTAAACTGGTGGCTACAGAATACACAAAACTTGCTGAAAACTTACCTTTACCAGTTTGTAAGAGATAATAGATCCATAACTAATACTCTAAAAGCAAAGGTAACTGAAGCAGAATTTCCTGCCATACAAGTCTCTGCTCTTGCAAGAGAATTCAAACAAGTTAAAAATAAACTGGATTTTGGATTTGCTTGCTACATTAAGCGTGGCACGCATATTGTTAGTGGACGGTATTCAAAAACAATCAATAATTTACTGTTTTGCTTTGTAAGACTTGTTAATCAACTTCATTTGAGGTTTTGGGATGAGAAATGACAAGGGTAACAGTAAGACAGTAGTGTAATTACTCAGTATACAAGTATATTTTCATTGAAGAGTCTGTGTAATTCACTTTTTGAAAGACAATCATTCAACCACAAACTGTGACAATATAATTGTCTTGTATGTGCATGGCAGCACAAGAATGTAGAATTCTTATTATTCTTCATTCTACGTTCTTGAAAGATTCCTTTCCGTTCACTCCTCTTTTTGGAAGGAACTCCCACAACCATATTTATAGATGTTTTTTCAAGGAAGTTGACAGAACGGGGAGAGGAGTAACATCAAAGCAGACCAAATCCAGAAATTTCTTCATAAAAACTTGCTTTCTGTAAAACAGTACTTCAGTAAGAAATTATCTATTCTGTGAAAAACATGTTTTCTGTCTCCTGTGATGTCACCATTGAAAGACTCCTGAGATGAAGTTGTTTGGAAAGGGTGTTGAGGACACTTAAGACACATAAGGACTCAGATGGTTGTGGACAGACAGATTGCTCGAGCTTAGTCACACACTTTGTTTCCCTTTCTGGGTCTGGATAATTGGAGAGCCAGACATGTGAAGTCACATAAGGTGCAAATGCAAGGAGAACCATCTTAGCAAACATGCAAAAGGTATAAAACTAGCAAAAGGTAGTAGGCAATAGGTGGCTATGCATACAAAAAAAAAAATTCTGGTTTTGTAGAAGAAAGACTTTTATTATTTTAACTACATTTCAAGAAGCAAATTTTGACTATGAATTGCTCTTTGCTTGCAAAAAACACAGAGGACCCCTTTAGTAAGCAACAGTAACATACGAGAAGAAAGACTTGTATTTGGTAACAAACTAAAACAAACACACAGGGTTTCTGTTTTTTTTTGTGGGTTTTTTGGCTACACCATACACTGGACACTGGGGGTTGCAACTTTGATTTTTCAAATAAAACAGATGCCTACCATCATCACGGCCAGACTGAAAGCTGCTGCCCCTTTTCAGTGAAGCAGTTTGACTGAGATGGCCAATTGGTGGTGGACGCACATCACTTTCCAGGTCTAACATGGGGCTGTGGAGCAATGAATTGCCTAGAGATAGGGGGAAAAAACCCAGAAGTTAGAATAATTTTGCATATTAGTTGACATGAAATTGCATGCTGCATGTGGAATTCTAATTTAATTTACTGATGCAAAAGTTATCTTACAAAAACATTCTTAATCTTGACTGTTCACATATATTAACACAGTTCAATAATACCACTACTGATTCCTGTAGCAAAGCCAAACCCAAAAGTACCATGTGGAAAATACCATTCTTTGGTCTGTATGTTTCTCTGTTTTTAATTAGCTGATGAAAGTTATGGATAAATATGTATTTATGCATTTAGTGACATAGCTCATGCTTTTTTTTCTGGTGTATGTTCTAAATACACTTTTCAACAGCAAAAGTTTCTTGTGTGTCCAGCTGAAGCAGTTAAAGGCAGAGTGTTCAACTCTTATTTAGCTGTTTGACCTCTATGGAGTTCAAGTATAAAGAATCCATCCATCATGAAGCAGATGAACTAATGGCACTGTATGTTTGCATGTGTCTGTAAAGCACCCCTTACTTATCTACAAACCCATAAAATATTTTCCAGTGTATCAAACAATTTTTTTTTCTTTGGGTGCCTCTCCATATGTAGGTCACTACTTGCAAGCTCTAAACAATGATTTAATCTGATGGAGGTGGATACTTGGAGTCTAACATGCATTTTGAAAAACAACCACATAAGAATAATGCTGCTTTATGCATTTCTCACAATAGATACATTTCTGAAATTAACCATCAAAAATTATTTCAGCATTGCCCAACTGAGCTGTAACAACTAAATTTAAATTGATCACAATTCACAGAATTATACAACAGTCCAGGCTGTAAATAATCTCAGAAGATCATCTGGTCTAACCTTTCATGGGAAAGGGAGCCAAGGTGAGATTATCTAGCACCCTGTGCAATTTCATCTTGAAAGCCTCCAGTCATGGGAACTCTAAAACGTCCCTGGGGAGTTTACTTCAGTGATTGATTGTTCTCATGGCAAAAAAATCCTCTCTTATATTGAGATGAAACCACTCTGAAAATTCACACTAAATTTTGTAGTGAGAATCTCAGCATTTGAGTTTATATTGTTGATCTTTTCCAGCGATACCTACATTCATTTAAAATAATAGAAAGGCCACAGAGGAAGAGCACCAGCTGTAACACTGCAATACTCAGATTCAAGAGTAACACAAAGTAAAAAGGTCTCAAAGCACATTTATTTTAAATTTATGCTGGTGTCAGACTGGCATGGCAGAAAAGATATACCTAGTCATTTTACTTCAATAGCTGGGTCTTAAAGAGCAATACTAAGTATTGTGAAACTTATCACAAACTTCCAATAGGTGACAGTATTGGGTTTTAGTTCATTTTGAAAGAAGTTCTTCCTCCTACAAAGGCTTTTAAAGAAATGTCCTGTGGCCTTTCTCCGTGGCATTGTCATTACCAAGATAACTGTCGGTTCCTCCATTCTTTTTATTACTGTTCATACTATAAGACACCTAAGTAAATAGATCCAATTTGCTACATTGTTCACAATTGTGATTGACACAATTAACTGACTTGGTGAACCCATCCTTTTTATCTTTAGGCTGTGTTATGATTCTAATGACTCTAACTCCTGCACCACTTATTAAACACAACTCATATTTATGACATCTTTAAAACTGATGAGTTTTCAGAACACAGAATCCACTGCAGTGATTCAAGTGTATTTTCCACTGTCACCACAGATGAGATCTACAGTGAGTTTTAACAAGAATTTGTGGAAAGACTTTTCCTTTTAAAAGAACTAAAAATACAAACTAATGAGAAATTAAAAAACTAAAGTTTTGCAGTAATTGACACCCATGAAAACAATCCAGCAACCTTACACAATGAAGTAAAACCAAACCAACTTGATTCCTTTCCAGAGTAAAAAACCCACACATTCAATATCTTATAGAAATCCTACACAGAATAAAAAGAAAATTGTAGAAGACCCTCAGAAATTCAGTGTCTCTCATAGTTCATGGGTTTCCAAGAGCATTTGACTGAGATTCAACATATCCGCATTTTATTTGGGGGGTGGGAGGGGAGAAAGTATGCCAAGAAGACCAAGTTAGAATTGTCACAGGCATTGCTATTTAAAATATACATTATAAAAATCCCCAAACAACAACAAAAACAGAGTATAGCAATGTTATTTTCACAAAAATTACAACAAAAAAATTCCCCCCTTAATCTCCCTGCATAGAATTTAAGTTCTCAGCTTTCAGACATCTTGTTAATATGAGGAATGTCTTGTAAACAGACGGTCTCTAAAAATGACAGTGCCAATTAAACCTCAGAATTAAGAAAAACAGACATACTTACCAAAACATCTTAATATGAATTAGTTCAATTAAAACCATTTGCTCAAGGTATGTGAAAACTTGAAAATTCTGTATTGCTGCTGATACACTAACCCCATGCAGCCCAAATGGTTTATGTATTCACCAGTAACAGAAAACATGTAAAGAACACTTTTCTTGTTCCACCAGAAAAACCACATCATCAGTTTGCAGGCGTACCAGGAAAAGAAAGTTTAACATGAACTAATTTCTTAATTGGTTGTCTAGCATTACAAGCAAGTACAACACAGCAGCAGGGAACTACAACAGCTCTTATACCCTCAGGACTAATAAACATCTGGACTACATTAGCGAAGCTGATCTTGCTTTCACCCTACCAGAAGATAGCGCTTAAAGGCTGCACATCAATGCATAAATCTTGTAAAAAAAGTGAGAGTTAACTTACAAACAATTTTTCTTCTATCCTAACTTGTTCCCTCTCTGGAGCCAGCAGCTTAAATTTAGCAGCATAATGTAATACAATGAATTAACAGTAGTAGGGACTGTAGACAATAATATTTATAAACCTAAATAAACTAACCAAATAGTAATTTACTGCCCATTCACTATGTGATTTGTGTACTATTTTTACATTCCTAGATCCTGAATATAGGACAGAAACAATCTACAGTTTCAAGAAATTAACTTTTACTGTGCTAAAAGGTTTTAAGAAGTATAAACAGCATGAACAATGTATTCCTGGTAGATCTCTACTTTTAAATAATACACTGCATCTTTGAAGTTACAAAAGTAATTTTTTCCAAAATACAGCATCTACATGGAGTGTATATGTCAGTGACTCCAGTGCCAAGTATATATTTAACCAAGGAAACACAGGAAAAATAAATGTACTATATTTTCTTCTTCTACCAAACAGTCATCACAAACCATAAGTATACTTAATGCCTTATTACATTTAAAACTGTACATTCACAAGAAGATCAAATACAAAGTTTTAAGGAGCTTAAAACTGCCTTAATTTTTTATTTTTTTTTTGAAAAAAGTACTGGTTTTCAACTTTTTGTACAGGTATTTTGAATGTGCACATTCAGACACTGTGTGAAATAAAAATATTTCAGCAGTTTTGTTCACATCTCTTCTGTTCTAGAGCAGTAAGATCTCACCAAAATAAGGATCTAGAGAACACAAAAAAAGCACAATTCTTTTTGATGTTATTTATCTAATTTGTGTTTTCGTTTTCTATAAATCAAAAGTCACCTGTGCTGACTCCTAATTGCAGGCTTATCAGTACTGGAGTTACTAGAGGGTTCTACTGTTCCTACAGTACCTATAGCTCATGTACAAACCTTGACACCATTTTCTGGAATGTTACCTGCATGCTCTTTGCATGCAGCTGTTACAACCTCCATTAAAAAGATGACTAACATGAAATTTGCCTAAAATAAATTTTTCCATGATACGCAAACCAGTCAATGATACAAACTTTTAAAAGCTGCTTCATTTTCATATTGCTTAACTATTACTAAACTGAGAATAAAAATTGTTCTGCAATATCTGATGCTCCACAACTCTGCCTGTTTTTTTTCCCCTTGCAGTCTGGCAGGTGGAGGTTTTGCTCATGGGAGTCACACGCCTCTTGAATCCCTTCTGTAACCCACCTCAGCCACTCTGCAATTCTGCCACTCCAGTGCATAATTATGTGACATTCAGTAAAGCTTTTTACAAAAGTTGCTAGTGATCAGGGGATAATATAGTGCCAGTACTTTCTGAAGCGACAAAGAAAATTTGTTAACAAGTGACCAACCTTAGGCTAAATGATTTTTCAGTGAGATTTTCCACGGTAAGTGAAACAATTGTCATTACACAGACTTGCTCATATACACCATATATATGAGTAATATCAAACTAAAAAAAAAAAAGACCCTACAGATGTGCAACCAGGTGAATACAGTTACTGTATTTTCTCATCCATTATGTATCTTATAGTGAATTTTCTCACAGGCTACAATAGTGAGGGAAGGCTGATCTATAGCCTCCGGACTCTCTGAAGGGCGGCAGACTTCCTTACCAGCCTTAAACACCTTTGAACATTTTTTCCTGTGCACAGCGGGCCCTTGTCCTGTGCTGCAGCCTGACCACCCACTGTTGCTTGCTGACCAAACACACAGTGCCTGGAGCCTGCACCGACACAACCAGGATAAGATTCCTTTCAAGGACACCACATTGAGCATTTCAATTTGTCTAGGCAAGAAATTAGGCAAGCAGGAGAAATTACTGAAAAATTAACCTGCTCAACAGATGAATGACTGCATTTTATTCTTTTTCTTGAGTACTTTTTCTTTCTAACATTACATTTTATAGGGATTTGACACTTCTAAGAGATCAAAAAGAAAATGGGTTGTTTTTCTTAAAAAAAAAGACATGAGTGCAGAAGATTAAAATTGATGCACACAAAATATGTTTTTGGAATACATTTAAAAATTGATGCTTTTTTTTAAATCTTAAGGCTAGTCTTCATTATAGAAAACATATTTACAATGAAACTGTTTTCCAGTTTACCACAAAAAGGGTAATTGGGCATATCCATCCTAGTGGTGTTCTAAGGATAAGGCTTACTGTCTGTCCTTCAGGCCAAAAAATACTGAAGCAAGAGCCAAATACTTCAAGTTTAGCACATAAAT